TCTCACCTCCCAAAAATCCCCTCCAACCCCACAAGGAGACACCGGGTAGAGTCTCACCTCCCAAAAGTCCCCTCCATCAACCCAAAAATCCCCTCCAACCCCACAAGGAGACACCAGGTGGGGTCTCACCTCCCAAAAGTCCCCTTCACACCCACAAGGGGACACCAGGTGGGATCTCACCTCCCAAAAATCCCCTCCAACCCCACGAGGAGACACCGGATGGGGTCTCACCTCCCAGAAATCCCCTCCAACCCCACGAGGAGACATCAGGTGGGGTCTCACCTCCCAAAAGTCCCCTCCATCAACCCAAAAATCCCCTCCAACCCCATGAGGAGACACCAGGTGGGGTCTCACCTCCCAAAAGTCCCCTCCATCAACCCAAAAATCCCCTCCAACCCCACGAGGAGACACCAGGTGGGGTCTCACCTCCCAAAAATCCCCTCCACACCCACCTGAGGAAGGAGACCACCAGGGAGTTCTTGAACTTGGAGTAGGTGCGGGAGTTGAAGCGGTTCATGCCGCTGAAGCCCTGGCACGGGGGGCCACCGCAGAGCATCTCCACGTCGCCCTTCTGGGGCAGCTTCTGGCCCAAGGAATTGGTTTTCTCGCCGGCCATGACCAGCTTGAGGAGCACGTTGCAGTCCTCGGTGAACACCGTGGTGCCGGGGTTGTTGAGCCGGAACGCCTGCGCCGCCGGCTCCCACATCTCGATGGCCCAGAGCGTCTCCGAGACCCCTGAGGGCACGGCCGGGACGGCCGGGGGGTCAGGGTGGGCACGGGGAATGGGCACGGGGAATGGGCAGGGATGGGCAGGGATGGGCACTGGGAATGGGCACTGGGAATGGGCACTGGGAATGGGCACTGGGAATGGGCAGGGCTGGGCACTGGGAATGGGCACTGGGAATGGGCACTGGGAATGGGCACTGGGAGTGGTCAGGGCTGGACACTGGGAATGGTCAGGGCTGGGCACTGGGAATGGTCAGGGCTGGACACTGGGAATGGTCAGGACTGGGAACTGGGAATGGTCAGGGCTGGGCACTGGGAATGGGCACTGGGAATCATCATGGATGGGCACTGGGAATGACCAGGGCTGGGCACTGGGAATGGTCAGGGCTGGGCACTGGGAATGACCAGGGCTGGGCACTGGGAATGGTCAGGGCTGGGCACTGGGAATGACCGGAGCCGTGCGGGCACAGCCGGGCCGGGCACTGCCAAGGTCCAGCCGCCTTTGCCGCCGGCCAGGCCCCTTCCCAAGGCTCCGGCAGCCGGAGCTCACCTGCCTGGTGGAAGCCCTCGGAGAGGCCCCCACAGCCGGAGAACACGTCCAGCGTCCTCAGCTTGGGCACCTGCAGCTGGGCCGGCTCCCGCTCGCTCTGCTCGGCGCCCGCCGCCTTCCCTCTGCCCTTCCCTGCGAGCCCCGCGCGGGTCAGCGCCCGCCCTTCCTCCTCCTCCTCCTCCTCCTCCTCCTCCTCCTCCTCCTCCTC